CTGTAAAGCTGCTTTGCAACGATTTGTATCGTGAAAAGTGCTATACAAATAAACTTGAATTGAATTGAATATATATTATATATATATACTGTGTTATATATGCACATACTGTGTTTACTAGGCTTCATAGCTAAATACAGCATTGCAAAAATTATATTGAGTGGCACGATAACATTATTCCCAAAGTACCATTATTACCCAAGTACCATCATGGAAACTAATATACAAGTAAAACAACCTAAACAACTGCAAAACACACATAAAACTGATAAATATAAATGTATAGCTTCATGGTTTTCTTTGTAGATATATTTAAAAGAGATGTGTGCAGTCAGGGATGAAGGACTAGGAAAAAAAAGACAATAAAACAACCATCGAGTGAACTGCACCTGCTGTCTTCCTATGTATTTTCTGTAAATGTCAGAGATAATGATGTGTTTTAAATTTAACTGCACATACCCAGAATGAGGGCAATAAGAGCAGAGGCCATATATGTGTCAAAAGAAAAAACGCTGAACATGACACGTTCATAATATAGAACGGTGGTCCCCAGTTCTGCTGGCAGGTCTCCCTGTCAATCTCACAATATGTATTCAACCTCAACCAGGCTGCACAGGGAGATAACACACACGCACACACACACACACACACACACACACACACAGTGGGCAAAGGACCTGTCAGCTGGCAGGAAGACACACACAATCCCATAATTGTTTGAGAGCTTTCTTAACTGAATCTCTTAATGCTGAAAATGAAAGGTTATTAAGAGCCTCTGTGATTCACCAGCCAAATAAGAGTCTCTCTCTCCTTTCACGTTCACTTTGGCTCTTAAATGGCTCTGAAAGATTTCCACACAGTGCAGGTCACCACTAAATTACACCTTATTGATAAGCTACCAAGCTCACACCTGCCATCACTTTTCATATTTAGCATTGCATAACTGTTTGGTGAAATAATTGCAAAGATTTATTGATTATATCTATATAAAAACATCTTCCTTCTCCTCTGTTATCTTTTGACGTGTTTCCATGCCTTTGGCTTTTACACACTGGAAAAATCTGTATGTGTTTAAGTTGGTGTGACAAAGTTGCATTATGCATTGGCTCTGAAACATAGATTTTATTCAAACAAACAATTAAAAATAGTGATATCTGCTAAAGTACAATTAAAAGCAGATTCGCACACATCCGCAACACATTCTTTCCGATGACACATCAATAGCCTCGAAAAACCACCATCGTTGTTAAACGACAAATACAATCGCTTTTATTTTCTTTTATACATTTTAGATAGGATGAAGAATACGTGAAAGACGGGAAAAAGAAATATGAAGGAGTAAAAAAAAAAAGAAGTCAAAAGGAAACGGTGCGCGGTGAGAAATTAACACGACGTGAAAGTTTTCCAGAAGAAGTTCTTGCATCCGGCTTTGCGCTCGCGAGGTGCCAGCATCGGACCGGCGGCACGCTCGAGCTCCAGACGCACTTCATCTTTCTCCACAGCGCGAGACAGATCCTCGGGCTCCAGCGCCTCGTTTTCTGCTTGCACGAGGTCTGAGAGCAAGTCTGCGAGTGTGTATCTGGCGAGTTCCTGAAGAAATCAAGAGAGAAAGAGAGAGAGAGAGAAACAAAACTTTAGTATGTTTGCACTTGTTGCCAAAGGTGCGCTCGATAATGAGAACGCTCTCAGAAAAAAGAGGTACGAAAAGCTAAAAGTTACATCTGTGTACCTTATTTGCCCCTAAATGTTACATATTAATACATTAAAGGTACATATTAGGGCCTTTTGAAAGCGTACGCCCCAGTTACTGTGTTGTACTATTTTTTTCAAGTGAAGAAAGACAAAACGTTTGCACAAAGCGAATAACTGTCTAAAAATGTAGGTACCGATTTAGTTTTACATCTATTTTTGAAACGTTTTCTTAAATAGAGCATACGTTTTCAACTTTTATATTTTTGCTCCAACCGACATTCGTTATCTGACTTTATTTCCATTTTATATGTAGACAAAAATGTATAGTCTTAAATGTTTAACGCTTATGTTATATATCTTAGATATAATTTCTTTTTTTCTGCCATGGGACATTGCCATTTTTTGCCTTTTCGGATCCCATGATCACCAGTTTATGTTTGCGTGAGATTATATTAATCATAATCAACATTATGCAAGTTCAAACGACGTTTCTATATGTTCTCTATGAGTTGTAGAACTAATAAGTCTCGAGATGTAGACGCTATCGTCGATTTCAGCACCATGGACAGTGATTTTAGTTTGTTTGCTACCGATTTAGAACTCAATCTAAAGTCATTTATAACATATATAAAATTACCAAAACTAGTATTTTGTGTATGCATCGTTTACCTGTTTTCCAGCCGGGTTGAGGAGAGATCTCTGCAGAAGTTGGCGGAGTTTGGCGTCTGTCGGTGCTGCAGAGACGCTGCTGACGGCAAGCGCGAGGGACAGGAGCGCCAGTGCGCACTGGATACGCGTGGAGAGCATCTTTGAAAGTATTGATTTGGTGGGAAATTAAAAGAAGAAAGATGCGTCGGGTAGCGCTGCGCTAGTTGTAAGTTGCCTCTTCTGTCTCTTTGCTCCTTCTGTTGCAGCTCATTCCTCCAAAGTTGCCTTTTAAACGATCCGCCTGACGTCAGGAGGCGAGGGGGGTTTGCTTAGCGTGCGCTCGAGTGATGCTGACTGAGTGACAAAGATGACACCGATTAGGGGCGTGAATCCTACTGGAGGTGAAAGGGATTAATGATCGATTTAACCTGCAATCGTCACTCCAACCCTGCACACACATACTGTATTTTGTCTATGTGTGTGTTTGTCAGAGTTTGCCTACATTGACCAAGTCTATACCCGCAACAAGGATACTAAAATCTGAAATCACTTACAAAACTCAATAAAAATACCTAATAATAGTTTTTGAACAGTTAAGTGGAAAGGAAATATACCATTACCAAAGTAAAGGGTTTAGCACACATCATCTCTTAAAACACTGCATCTAGTCCTCACTAATATGTTTGTGGCTCAGAGTATGAATGAAAGAGAGAGAGGATCATTTCTCAATATATTCTGTGGGTTATGAAAAAAGGCCGTCAGAATATAAAGATAACTATACAGTTATAGTTCCGGTCCTCGAATCTAACAGCAAGTCTGTGGGGATTTTTCAGTGTCATAACACACTCTTGTTATATTGCCTCTTCAAAATCTGTTTAGACTATAGGCCTATAATCATAAAAGATTCACAGGAAACAAAAACAAAAAATAAGTAAGAAGTAGAAATTGGTTTAAAATTGTACAGAAATCATATTCCTAGGGCAGATTCCAGTGCTGGTTTCAAGGGGGTTCTCTGGTAATTCGCCCAGGGCAAAGACATTAATTGATGGTGGTTTGGTTTACACCGCCTCATGCGTGTGCGCATTGACGTCAAGGTTTCCGAGAAGAGCCTAGTGTCCTACTGCTTTCCCCGGGCCGGGCGGATAGTGGATCTGTTTGCCTCTTCCCTCCGTGGGGGTTCTCGGTCACCTCCGTTCTTCTAATCAAGAAACAAGCGCCGATTAAGTGATGGTAATGGCCAGTCATGATCCACGCCGTGCGTGCCTTCTGATCCGTGATGTGTTAGAGGAGAACTCGCGCTAATTCCATTGAACCCTTGGGGACGGTGTGACGGTCGCACCCGCTCATGGCCTGCGAACCCGGTGACTTGAGACGCATCCGAAGCAGCATTATTTACGCAGTTACTATTTTTCGCACACCAGCCTGTATTTTTCAATGCTAATTGCAGTCGTGTGTGCTTCGAGCGCACGCTGTAGCCTTTGGCGGTTGAGACTACAAACATATTTAGACACATGGCTGATGGCAATGATTTCTATTAGTGCTATAGAGTATGGCAGAGGCCACCGAACTGAGTAGGCCTTCTAAACTTTCATGAATAAGTTTTGAGATTTAGATTCACAACATTCTTGTCAGTACATGCAACAATTCACAGACACACACATAGTTAAACACAAAGGTCATGAAAAGTATTTGGATTTTTTTTTTTAGATCAAACCAAGTGGCATTTATTTTAAATAAAGAATGATTGCACAAAAAGTTAGGTTTTAAATGATAAAACAATAGATATTGGCCAAAAGTGAGAAAAAAGCATTTGTTGCAGATTATAAAATATGCTGCAAAACAGCAAAAAAGTGAAGTCACTTCTGAGAAAAGCTTTTTTTTTTTGCAGATGCCACTTGGTTTTATATTTTGCTACTAATTCGATAAAATTCATACATTAATGTGCATTTTAAGCATTCAAATAAGTTTAAGTACTTCAACACTTACCAATACCCCACTCCATTGGTTTAACAAACCTGCAGTGTTTTAATTAAAGCTTCGTTTTATTGAAGGCAGTTTACAATCTCATTTTCTCTTTTCTCTGTAAAACGGATGTTGGCCTTTTCTCATTATAATGAATGTGCTGATTGAAGTTAAAATTGAGAGGCTGAAATCCTACACTGCAGCAAGCAAAGGCCTTTCTGATTAACCACACAAACCAAAGAATTTTTAATTTGTAGTTTAATAAAACTAATTGCTATCAGAATTGGGCTTCAAACAGCAGTCAACTGGTTCCCCAGTCACTTTTCTGATTGTGAGTCAGCCTTCAGGTTTGGGAATATTAATCAAAGGTGCTTGCTAAGGGTGATTGCTCATACTTAGACAGCAGTTGGCACGCTTGATGTGTGTTTGTAACCCCTAACATCAATTATTAAACTCTGGAGTGTAATTTGTCCTGAGACATGAATGAGAACACAAATTAAAAGCATTACTTTCTCTATGTAATAAACCTTGCGACTTTCACCTGGTGTTGCAACCTGCACTTTGGCCTTTCTAGGAATAGTTCACCCAAAAATGAAAATTCACTGAAAATTTATTCACCCTCAGGTCATCCAAGATATAGAAGAGTTTGTTTCTTCGTCAGAACAGATTTGGGGATCACTTGCTCACCAATAAATCCTCAGCAGTGAATGGGTGCCGTCAGAATGAGAGTCCAAACAGCTGAAAAAACATCACAATAATCCACACGTAATCCAGACCACTCCAGTCCATCAATTAACGTCCTGTGAGGCAAAAAGCTGCATGTTTGTAAGAAACAAATCCATCATTAAGACGTTTTTAACTTCAAACCATTGTTTTCAGCATATACAATTCCTCTATCCATAATATTGCTTTCTCTGTTGAAAAGTTGTCTTGTCTGAATCTAGAGAGGAATATGCACAGACCAAGTACAAGCAAAACCAAGCCAAAACAGTTCTAAATAAATATGCCGGTGGATTTTGATGTGAGAACCGAGAAGACAACAGGAGATGGACTTTTTCAGGACACAGTATTATGGATTATGGACTTATAGTTTGGCTAGAAACATTGGTATGAAGTTAAAATGCCTTAAATGATGGATTTGTTTCAAACATGCAGCTTTTATTTTATAAGGCATTAATTGATGGAGTCATGTGGATTACGTGTGGATTATTGATGTTTTTATCAGATGTTTGGACTCTCATTCTGACGGCACCCATTCACTGCAGTGGATCCCTTGGTGAGCAAGTGATGTAATAATACATTTCTCCAAATTTGTTCTAATGAAGAAATAAACTCATCTACATCTTGGATGGCCTGAGGGTGAGTACATTTAAATCAAATTGTAATTTTTGTGTGAACTTTTCCTTTCAGGCAGGTTAAATGGGAGAGAAAATGAGCTGGAGAAAAATGTGCAACAAAACAACTCATAGAAAATGTTGTTGTGGAGCACAATTGCATGTAACAATGATAAGTCAGGTGTAAAAGGAGGATCTGAGCCACATCTACTGACCAAAATACTATTGAGAGTTAGGGGTCATCTCTTTTCCCTTGAGCTATAGTGAGCAACCAGTGACTTTTAATATAACTGGAAAGCTATATATTCACATTCCCAATCATCTCAATTGCAGTTGCTTGGCTAGCACGTCTAGCCAAACATCTTTGCTAATGGGTGCTCCAGAAATAAACAAATAAAAAAATCTCCAGTAAATGCCACGTGACTGATCAGAACGGAACTACAGAAAAGCTACACATTAAAGACTACTCAGAACAACGTAGTAATTGCATAGCAACCCAAGCATAATGGTGTTCAATTACATTTCTTGTAGTTTTAATTGGAATTTATGGAGTGAGACTTTCCAGGAAACTGGGAATTGAAACATAGAGATGTTTGACTGATGAGGCGCTTATAAAGGCTCATCTGTTTTACTGGAAAGGTCATTAACCTCTGTCAGACACACACACACACACACACACAAATACAAAATGGGGTCAGGTGCTTAGTGTCACTCCAGGTGGCCATAGCAATCTGGACAAATCTATCCATCATCTCGAAGAGGCAAATGAATGTCTGCATTTGTCCAGCAGTGGTTGTTTAAATCATATTTTAAAACAAAGTCATGTCACCTATACATGCATATATAGCACAAATCCACTGTGCAACACACACATTCACACATGTTGGAGATGATGATGAAGTCTTTCATGGCCATCTGGCTTAGGATGATGTGTGTGTGTGAAGAGGAGGAAATGGGATGTGTCAAGGTGGATGTGTGGGGTTTGGGGGATGGCGGATTGTATGCTCCATTAATTTTAAGTTTAATCACATCTACTTTCCTCTCGTTTTACCTCCCTCCCTTAACCTTTTTCTTCTTCACTGCCATCCTGTCACCTCCCTTAACTGCTTCTCCACCTTCTTCCTTCCTTCCATAAATATATTTACTCCAGTGTATCATTCATCATTTTAATTTATTTGTTGACTAATTTATCATAACGAGAAACTGAAGTAAAAGACAGAGTTAGAGAGAGATCGCACACATAATGAAATAAATGTATTTATTGTATAAATGTAAAATGTATAAGTGTAAAAATAAATCTCATTGATGATTTAATGTATCTTCATAGCTTAATATATACATAAAACAAGATTTAAACAGTATGTATATATATATATATATATATATATACAGTATATATATATATATA